GAAATGCACCTAAACATGTCCTTCCATCTGTTTGTCTATTTATATGTTTGCCCGACTGTGCAGTATCGGTCATAAACAATATCTCGTTTACAAAAATGAAGGCATCGTCTCTTTGCCTTTTTTTTTGCTCCTTTTTAAGATAACGCTATTGGAGGTGAGAGATTCGATTACTACCGAATATAATTTTCTTGCTTTTTTATTAATTTTTTAGATTCAAATACAAGCCACAAAAACACTATGAACCATAGGGTCCTTTTAACTAAAGATGTTTCATGAGAATGTCACCCACCCGTATTGCTACTTTTCAATATATTTCAGAAGAAATTTGTTTTTTTTTTTAAATACTTAATATGCTCTTGGAAATCTCGTCAATATTGTTTTTTAACGAACTTTCTTCTTTTCGCCCAAAAAACTGTCAAAAGTATGCTTCTGTTGAGACGCAATAGTAGTGACACCGCTTAAGAGAACTTTTTAAGCATGTTTCTAAGCATCAAGTTTGTTGAAGAAAGTATCTTTTATAGATTCTCTTTTCCATTAAAGCATGCAGCCTGTGTAAGCATGGGATTATAAACGATGAAAGGACATATCGATGCATTTGGACTAGTTTTTTAAAGAGATCCGTTTATTCGTTTAAGTCGATAAAAATACATTTTAGCAATAAAAATTTAAAGAAATACAAAAGCAGCTTAGCAGCTCCTAAAAAAAGCCTGCTGCTTCGTCTTGCAAGTATTTTAAGAATAGAATAAAATTGTAATTTTCGATAATGTCGGTTGAGTGTGGCCGATTCTTTTCTTGCCGTAAGATTATCCATTGCCCATATTACATGGGAATTTTTATTGTCATATCTGTCGCAATTTACAGGTAACAAGGAATAAATTCCTGGAACTTTTTCTTGCCTCTCAAAACATATATGATCGCATTCTACGTTGTAGAGTAGGCGTATCGTTTTACCGATTTGCCTTATATGGTGTAACAATTTCCTTGCAAGAATTTCCAATATTTCCAGTAAAATCAATGTCGATATTTTTCCCGCGAGAAGAATGTTTAGCACAGATATTGAGCAGGCAGGCAGATTGGCTTGCTTAGATCGATCATATCGTACTGATCAAGAATATATGTACTTTATAGGAGAGTTTATGTGTATAGCAGTATTTTTTGTTTCGGCACAGTTTGAAAAAGAGCTCGAGAGCTTTACCTGAAAGAATTTTTTAACAAACTTATATGAGGTTGAACGAAAATCTAGAGTGACGTTACCCGTTAGCCCATCCACGAATTGACGAAACTTGCATTCACAAGTTCAATCGGAAGGCTTAGTTTCTTTCCAATGAATGTACGAAATTTTCTAATTACATTTTTAGAATATTTTATTTTTGGCAAAAAAAAATATTTTTTTTTTATATTTTTTTTTTTTTTTTTTTTTTTTATATATATATATATACATATATATATATATATATATTTAAACATGTATTTGAAATGTGTGTTAAATTATTATCCAAAAAAGGTTAAAAAGAAATAATAACATAAGTAACAACAAGTAAAGCCAAAATTCGATTTAATCCGAATCAATTTTACGACACCCATTACCATAAAAATTCTGAAAATAATTTGAGATTTATTAAATACATATAAATAGGATTCAAGAAGAGTTCTCTTAACAAGAGCAGATAGTGCCGGCAATACTTTATTACTTTAGATGGATTGAAGGTGAAAGTCCCCTTAATATAACAATATATAAAAATATATATAAAATTATATATATATATAAATTTTTTATTTATGTCTAACTGTAGACACGTCTAACTGTAGACACGTCTAACTATAGGAGAAAGTTTGAATAATAAAAAAATATGCATTTAATGTATACTATCTGAGAGAGAGAGAGAGAGAGAGAGAAAGAGAGAGCAAAAGAAAGAGAAAGCATTACAAAACGACTTCTTCAGTAACTCAAAAACGGATGGACAGAGGCTGTAAATTATTGCGGTATATATAGTATTATGATACAAATGGCATTTTTTTTGTGAATTTTTGCTGTGAACATAATTGATAATTGTAATGGTGATGGGTGGAAAAATCAAAAAAAATTTACAGTTAATCAGTGCTTAAAATTTGCATTT